CAGCAAGCAGCGCCACCAGACAAAGAAAATTCGGCGACTCGAAAAACCACGGCAGGAAGTTGTTCCTCCGGCGACACGATTAGCGCCACGGCCACCGCGCCCCGCGTCGCCCCGTGGCCGACAGTAAAAACAACAACAAAAACAAAAAGAAGACGCTACGCCACTGGTTGAGTAATTTACCAGACAGCAAGCAGTCGATGCAGCAGGCTGCCGAGGCGCGGGCAGTGGTGCAGAGTGAGGACCTCTTCATGGAAGGGTCAAAAGCTGAACGCGACGCCGATCGAGCAGACGGCTTCGAGGACATTGTTTGGACACATGTTGCTTGCTCGCTTGCTTCGAACCCACCACACACACACGCACACACACACACGCACACACACGCGCGCTCTAAAACGCGGCGGTAAAAATGCGGGCCGCGCGGCAAAAAGGTGTTATTGAAACCCCCCATCGAGTCTTCACACATCGCGAGCTCTCAATGCAATTCAGACTGCACACGCATGCAGCCCGGGCGGCGAGGCAGGCAGGCAGGCAGGCAGCCAAGCTCTGCAGTGGGGCGGCAAGGCGAGGCGGCCCCGTCCCGCATTGTACGCTCCTCTCTGATCAGCTGTGCATTGCCCGCACCCCGCGCATAGCCGCGCCGCGTCGTCGCCGCGTACCGCGCCCGATCGCCACCCAACGCATTGTTCGCCCCAACGGCCCGCGCGGCCTGCGCGCCGAGCAAGGGGTGCCAGCCAGGGAGCCTAGGGTGCCCAGGGTGCTGACCCCACCAGCAACACGGGGTGGCCAGCGACACAAATATCGAACCTTTTTATTTATTTTCTTTTTCGGAATATTTATTTTTGTTGTTCTTCCCCATGCGTGTAGGTCCGCCTTTTTTCCGGTGAGGGTGACGTTATCAGACAGCGCTGCTCCTGCTACTCGATCTCCCACAAAATTAGCGGTCCAATTATCAATTTTCCCACCGACACACGCCGTGCCGAGCGAGCCGAGCCAAGCCGCGCTCTGCATAAGCCGACGGCTGCAAACAGCTCCATCGCCACTATTATCGTCATTACGATTTGCAGTGGAATTGAGTTGTGCCTAATCTGGCTCCGCGTTGCGTTCTCGCCCCGCCTCGCCCCGCCTCGCCCCGCCCAGCGGGCCGCCTGCCTACCTCCCGGGGGCCGGCCGGCCGGGGGTACACTACAATCGCCTGGCATGTGAGCAGCGGCCGGCAGGCAGGCAGGCCGAGCTGGCAGCCACGACTTAATTGCGATTAGAGGCCGCGCCGACGCCGCGGTCCAAACAGCAAACACCGCGCCGCGCCGCTTCTGTCTCTCTCGCACTGGCGGGGCGCCCCGCAGGGGTGCGAGAGAGACAGAGAGACCGGGAGCAGCGACCCGGAATCAGCCTGCGCAGAGTGCAGCACGCGAGTAGACCGGCCGCAGAGCCGCAGACCGCACCGCCGGCCGCGATAAGCAAATCCCAATGAATTTCAATAGTAACCTAATTCCGCGTCGTGGGGATTAGGCGTCATTGTACCACCGCCGCGCCACGCCGCGCCACGCTGCGGCAACAAAGATGCTTAATTGTCAGAGGTGACAGGGTGGCGTTCGCGGCGAGTGCGTTTTGTTCCCGTTCCCCCGCGCGGCCCGGCCCAGGGGGAGGGGGAGGGGGCGGCCATCGCGTCACACCAGTCACACCGCCGGCCGCGCGCTCAAATCAAAAAGACACCCAATCGACGCCTCACCTTCGTCACGCCCTCGTCCCGCCGCCTTCCAGGAAGCTCATATAAAGTGGCGCGCCCCACAGGCGCCGCCGCGCCTCCCCGCCGTCGTCGCGGAGGTGTCAGTTCAAAGGTGCGGGCGCCGGCAGCACGCGCCGCACATCGGCGCGCACCCACGCGACAAATATTGCGACAAGAAAGGACCGCCGATCGCACAGCCTCCCCTCGGCCTCGGCACGGCACGGCACGGCAGGAAGTCACGTCTGGGCGACAAGGGCGTTCTTTCCGAGTCGTTACGCGCTACCTGTGGCTGGGGCCTTATCAGCACGCCGGGCGGGGCGGGGCGGGGCGGGGCGGCGTGTGAGGCACCCCGGGGACAGCAGCATATTGAAAGCATTACCCTGTTTCACGTGTTTATTGTATGCACATTAACCAGGCGGGCTGGTCCCCGGTCCGCGGCACTCACTCCAGGGGCCAGCGCGACTTCCATGAATATGACTGCGTCGCGTCCCCTGCGACCCTCCCCCTCCCCCGGCCAGCCGGCCCGGTTGTCATCGTCACGGTCCACGCCGAAAGTGACGCATCTCGTCACCCCCAAGAGAGGCGGCGGCGTGGAAGCCGGCGGTACACTGCTCTGCACCCCTCGGGCTGAGACGAGCAAGCGAGCCTGCCCGCTAAGCACCATGCACGCATTCGCCGGTAATGTGTTTGGCGAGGGGGTGCTGGCCCGGCCTACAGTGGCGTGCATGGGAAAGCGAAGCGCGGCGCCGCGGAGGGGATCGTGGACCGCGACGGTGCAGTTGTCCACCACCAGCCAGAGCGCCGCCCTGCTAACCCTCCTTCCAAGCTGCCTCGGCGGCGGGGCCGGCGGCTGGGCAGCCACCTGGTGGTCCTGGAGCGCTACAAGTCGCCCTGCCCCTCGCGGCCCCGGCCCTCCGCCCGCAGCTCGCCTCGCCGTCGATGGCCCTCGATGCGGTCCAGTCCCCCGGGCGGCACCCCACGGAGCGCGCCGAGTGATTGTCAAGGGCCCTCGCCGCCGACGCCGAGCAAGCCCTCGTCGCGGTGCTCGTCGCGGTGCTCGTCGCGGTGCTCGGGGGCCATCGTCTTATCGGCGTCCTCCACGTCAACGAGGCGACATCATCCGGCCGGCACGCCTTGCCGCGTCCCTGGAGCGCCCAATCACGGTGTCCTGCAACGTGTTGGCCGCCGGCGCGGCGCATGCACGCACGCTCTCGCATGACGCACGCGACGTCCGAACGGCACGACGAGACTGTGACCGGTCCGCGCAGGCGGAGTGCAGCCAAGGCCCCTGTTCGCGGTTACATAAGCAGCAGGCGCATGCCACTGCTGCATCCGTCCTGACCTCCCCCAAGCACCCCCCGGTCCGGCCCGGCCCCTTCGGATGCACCGCGATGGGCCGCTTGCCGCCAGGGCCGCGGACAGCGCGCACAACCGCCAGTTGTACTTCGGCGTGGCGGCGTGGCACCACCACGACGACGGCGTATCTGGGCATCGCGTTCTGCGGGCGTCGGAGCGCGGAGCCGACGTCAAGGGGTCCTAGCCCGGCCCGCTGAGCGAGCGGCCGAGGCGGCGGGGCCCTGGCGCCTCCACCCTTTGCGGGCCTCATCATCAAACTTCCAGGCCTTAATTGCGATGCCAGATAAGCCGAAGCCGTCTTCACGGCAGCCCGGCCGGCGTGGCCCGGCGTGCGGCCTTCACGCCCGGGCCGCACGCGCCTCCACGCCAGAAGACACTCACACATGCACGGCCGCGGGCACACTGGCACACACACACACAAACACATGGACCCAACTGGCGGCGCGCTCCTTCGCTGACCGGGTCGTTACGCCGGCCTGCGCCTATGCTGCGGGACGATTCCGGCACACTGCTTTTGTCGCTGTCTCCGTCGCACTCGAGGGCCTCCCCGTGGGGGTGCGAGAGAGACGGAGCGGCGGTAACGAGCAGCGAGGCTGCGGCGTCTTGCGCCGGCACGCCGAGGCGGCCGAAACCGCCGGGGCATCTCGTTACCGCGAGAAGTATAAGCGTGTCTCGAGTGCCCCGGGACGGAGAAGGCAGCGCAAACTTCGCAAGTCATTTGCGCGTCGCGCTCGTCGCCAAGCTCGTCGCCAAGCTCGCCGGGACACTCCCCTTCCAATTTATTACTTTCCCGGTGACGGGCGCATCATGCACGATGCACGACGCGGCGACGCCGGCGACGCCACCCCGAGGTGGTCACGAACCGCGTCACGAACAAGCACCTCTCGCTCCACTTCGATCTCCACTCCGCGATGGCGCCGCCAGATGCAGCGCGGCGATTGCAACGCTCGCCCCGTCTCTCTCGCACCCAAGGGCCGCTCGGGCGCGAGAGAGACGGAGCGACGAAACCACAGCGGCAGACGACACACGCAAGGCGTGCGACCTCGCACAACATTGTCTCTCCCATAAATCATAAAATCAATCCGGCCGCCTCGGCAATAAATCGGAAGCAGCCTATGAAAATTCAATAAAGATACCAGCCGCGGCGGTGGCCGACTATCTCCTGGTCGTCTGGCCGCGCCCCGCCGCGCCCCGCCCCGATATGAATTGGACTTGAGCCCCTCTGGATCAGCCGCGCGCCGCAGATAACCGCGCCACCCAGCGACCGACTAATATGTTGTACTCTAGGCGTCGCGTCGCGGGATATCAAAATTTATGGTTTATAGCAACTGCTTCAATTTCCTCCTCCTTTCCTTTTTCACGCCGCCTTCGGATTTTTTCTCTCCTGATGCAAATCCCTCCCAGCCAAAGCACCTGGCGCAGTCAGATTCGTGGACACAATAACCACGGTTCCGCACAGTGTCCCGTCGCTCTGTCTCTCTCGCACCACTGCGGAAGGCGCCGTGAGAGCGAGGGAGACGGAGCGACGTCGGGAAGACAATGCACGCGACAGTGCCGACAATTACGTGCCGCCTATCGGCCGGGGTCGGCTCGGCCAGGCTCGGCCACGATAACCCTCTTTCCGGCCCAATTGCCCCCAAACACTCAAATTAGAAAAGGTTTAAACAATGACAGCTGATAATTCATTACTCTCGTTTTTATTTTATTCCTTCTTATCATTTCAGAGATAATAGTACATGGGGTTTTCGTATACACTGGATAAGCTTACAAAAATAAATTCAAAATAAACAGCTGAAAGGGACACTGTCAAAGCGCCTGGTTGTTGAAGTCTCCCTTCCTGGTGATGACACTGGGGGCTCTCTCCAAACTACCGACCCTCCCTCTAGCACACAGCTCTAGTGGAAGTAGCTCAACTTACCGGGGTCGCCGTGGTCGAGAGACTGTTGGGAGCCCGGGGGCTGACTGAGGGGTCCCGGCGTGCCCCCGACTGACCCAGGGGACCTGACGTCGTCGTTGGGGTGCCCCGTGTACGACAGCGACGATGAGGGTGGTCTCTGCAACAGAAAACAAAAGGGTTAGCGACCGACTTTGTGGCAGTGCACTGGCTGTGCCTTGGCAGTGCAGGCGCGGACACGGCGCGCCGCGATTTACGAAAAACGGAAGTGAAAATGAGTCGAGAAGACCAAGGGCGAGGTCCGCCACGCCCCGCCACACCGCGACCACGCCCGAGCCCACCGCGCCCCGCCCCGCCCCGCCCCGCCCCGCCGGCAGAGGGCGCGCCTGCTTGGCCTGCTTCGTGCCGGACAGTCCACCTGTACCCGGCACGGCGCGGCGCTGAGCCCCGCGGGAAAAGGGAGCTTCCCATTTCCAGCAGGACGCGGGAAAGCACTCCGCCCGTCAATCAGCAGTGCAGCAGTGTCAAAACGCAAACAACGCCTCCGCCATCCTGGTGGCCCCGCACTGTAAAGCCAGGCCCTGCGTCGCCCTGCGTGTGCCAGCCGGGCCAGCCGCCCTCGGCAGGAATAAAAATGATAATAAAAGTGACGAGCACCGCGTCGTCGTCGTCGTGGTCGTGGCGTTTCCGAGAAGTACCCGTTTGGCGACTTCATAAAATGCAGGGGACGGCGGCCGGGTCCGGCAGACAGGATGGCGGGTCCTCGGCGCGCCTCGGCGTCCCCCCGCCCCCGCCGGGGCCTCTCGCGGGACGGGGTGGGCGCCCCCCGCGGCCCCCGCGCCCCCTCCTCCTCGGAAAAGCCTTTCAGTGTCGGAGGAGAGACGCCGAGTGGCACTCGAAGGGGGACTCCAGACGCGGCGCCTAGACGACACGAGACACGCCAGCCAGGAATAGGACCTTCCCCGAGGCCGCGCCGCGCCGCCGCCGACTAGGCCGACACGGTGTCTGGTCGCGGCGTCGCGGAGCAGTCCGCCTCCCAGGCCCGATCACTTACGGACTCGGGACCTCTTTAGCCGTCGGATTGATCCCAGCGAGTTGGTGCGAGTCGGTGAAGAGATACGCCATCGGGGTCCAGAGCGACGCGGCGACGCGGTCCGGCCGAGACAACCAACGACCCGGCCGCTCGCTCGCCAGACGCCACGGCCCTTGTCCAAATATGGCCGCGAAGGAGGGGGAGGGGGAAGGGGTACGCGACTGCAGCAAACGCCCGTTTTTGAGCAAGTCGTATGCAAATTCGGACAGTTGACCGAACCGGTCGGGCGGGTACGGTAGCAGCACATCCCGAGCCATTTGCACGGCCAGCCAGGGCACGGCACGGCACCACATCTCACCCACTGTACAGCGCACGCTCTCAAACTTGAACCGCGCACGAACGTGCGTATGTAGACAGGACACGGCACTTTGCACTCAGAGAGCGGCCCCCACCCCCTCCCCCAGGGCGGCAGCACCCCGCCACTGTCCGTCTCTCTCGCACCCCGCACGCCGCAAGAGTGCGAGAGAGACAGCCTCCAGGTGACACCCACCTGCATATTGCATAACGGCTCGACGAGTGTCGCAGACGCACCACTGTACCTTCCAGTGGCGTGGCCCGACTATCAAACCGGATGCAAACAACCCCGTCAACCCCCTTGCGAATGGAGGAGGGGGTGGGGGAAGAAGCAGCGCCCCAGAGACAGGGAAACAGCTGTAAACTTTCCAACTTACAAAAAGATGACGAAGTGTGGCATTTTATTGCCCCGTTTTACGACGTCTTCACACAAGCCGGGGAATAATGCGGAAAGCGGGTCAGAGCGAGCGAAGGGCCAGACGGCAGGGGAATAAGATGGGGGGGGGGGGGGGGGTCATCGTTTGGGGCCGCGACAACGTCTCCATCGCGGCACTATTCGCACTCGCACCTTGATTCGCACGGCGCCGTCACCAAGGCCGTCACCAAGGCCGTCACCAAGGCCGTCACCAAGGCCGTCACCAAGGCCGTCACCAAGGCCGTCACCAAGGCCGTCACCAAGGCCGTCACCAAGGCCGTCGACGCGCGCAATGGGGCCAGGTGGATGGCCACCAGGCCCGACCTTCCGGGGGTCGAATGTCCTCGTCGGCGACCTCCACTCCGCCTCGCCTTCCGCGGGACGCGCGGGACCCAGTCACCCACATTCGGAGCGCGAGCCACGCCGCGCGTCGCCCGGCCAAGGCGAGTGCAAATTTCGAGTTTCGAGGCCCAGCGCGGCAACACGGCACGCGCCAGGGGGGCACGGCCACGGCGCGGCCATGGGCACGGCGTCGGGTCGGGACCCTCGGCAGGGCCGGCAGGGCCTCGGCGGGGACCTCGGGGCCGCGTTGCCAAGTCGGAGGCCGAGTCGCAGGGCGCGAGGCGAGACGAGGCGATGCACGGCCCCTCGTAACCCAATAGCATGACGAGGCAGTAATCCCATTGCATTCCTGGCGGCAATTTTAACGCATCCGACATCGGGAAACCACCAGCCCGGCCGGCAGACCGCGGCAGACGGACGGAAAGAAATACCGCCGACCGCGTTACATTAAAATAACGAGTGCCACGCGACGTCGACGCGGACCGGGTCCAGAAATAGAAGCGACCGCGGCAAGCCAAATCAGCTGAATCAAATCATCGCAGCGATTCGCGTGAGCCTGCCGTCGAGGCCGGCGGTCTGGCCTGCCCGCCCGGCGACGCAAACCGAGGAATCAAAGTCGGAAAGCAAGGAAAGGTGCGAGCAGATAAGGCCCCGGCCGCGCAGCGTGTACCGCGGACAGGTACAGGCGATAAGCGAGCTAAGCACACTTCCCCTGCAGGGCGGGGAAGGCGCGGTCGCCACGCCACCCCCAGCCCGCCCAGGGCCCGCCCAGCACACGCCAAGCCAGCGAGCCAGAGCAAGGCGGGCCAGGCGCGACGAGAAAATGACATCGTCGCAGGTAATGAGGTAATAGCGCAATCGTGACGAACGGAATTAATACGTCGTTCGTTCCCTTCACGGATCGCAGCGCGCGTCGCCGCGTCGCGTCGCGTCCGCCCCGAAAACTAAAACAAAGAAACAGCGGCCGCGTTTGGCCGAACGACAATGACAATGCGACCATTATCCAGGCAGTGCCGATCCGCCCCGCCCCGCTCCCTTTAGCCCTCCAGGACTCCAGGCCTCCAGGCCTCCAGGTGTCGGGACGTCCGCGCGCCGGAAGCCGCGCTCTTGCGGCACTTCCGGTCGCGGGCAACGCGCAGCAACGCGCGGCCTCATTCGTCCGGCCCGATCGGCTCGACAAAGGCAACCCCCAACCCTTTGGACCCTTTGGACCCTTTGGTTGGACCCCTCGGGGGGGCATGTCCTGGCGTATCCCAGCCACGGCCGGGAAATCACGAACATTCCAACAACAAACAGAGCAGAAAAAAAGCAAAATAAAAATTTCTTCAAATTTCTTTTGAGAGCAAAATTTTGATGGTTTTGTGTTTGGAAGTTCATACGGTTGGTAGGAGAAAATAATTAAAATTGAGGCGTTTCTTTCTGTATCTGACGGCGACCTCCTTGGCGGTGACCCCCGCGGCCGGGCATCCCAATGACACAGATCGGGCCGCAAGCCAGACGCTCGTGGGGCGGAGGGCGGAGGCCGAGACACACGCACCCACTCCGGGTAAATGGCGCCGCTAATAGCCGTTTATTTAACCGCATTACCCTGGGCGCTGCTGCCCGCGTCCGGAACACGTCCACGACGTCCAGAGGACGTCCAGGCTGCTGCCGAACGCGTCGCTCTGTCTCTCTCCGGGACGCCGCCACGAGTGCGAGAGAGACAGAGCGACGAGAGCGCCGTCCGGGATCCGGCCGCCGAGACCCACAGCGTCTTTGTGCGTGCGTGCGTGCGCGCGATTCGGCCCGCTCGGCGACCGAGTGCCGTCGGAGTCCCCGAGTCCTCTCCGGCGGTGTCTAAATAATTGTTTCCTGACCTACGGCCCCTTGGGCGCCCCGGACCCCTTGGGCACCTTGCGCTGCAGCCGCCTGATCACTGTGTTTATACTTTCGTGTTGAGACGCTTTAGGCCGCCTAACAGCTCCATTCCAATATTAATCATTTGTGAAAACGCTCCTCTTTTCCAGGACGGCGCGCACGCGCACCGCCGGCGTGCGTCTGTCGGCGAGCGCCTGACATCGGCCAGGACTGCGCCCGGGGGCCACGACGGCCACGACACTGCACTTCTCCACCTGCCCCTCGCAGTGCTCGCACCATCGGCGCGGTTCAAATTGCTCCAAATCGTCCCCGAGGGGCAGGCAACGCATTCCGGCCGGACTTGCCACGCGCCGCACGGCCGGCCGCTTTAAAACCAAACCGCGGACCCCAAAGGGCTGGCCGAAGGTCCGAAGGGAAGGGCTGCCGGCCGGAGGACTGACGCGCTGACCCGCAGGGCCGGTCGAGTGGTGCGTCCCTTTGAGGCCCCGGATGCCCTTTGACCCCGGGCCCAGCCCCACCCAGCCCTGGTCTGCCCTGCCCTCCGGGGCCTGTGCGAGGCGTGGCGTGGCGGGGCGGGGCGTGGCGTGGCGGGCATCAACTGGCAAGTGGAGTGCCCGGCATGAGCAAGCAGAAGCCAAAGGCACCGGAGCGCTGCGCTGCGCCCCGCAACGCCCCGCAACGCCCCGCCACGCCACGACGCGCGGGGTTCGTATAGTGCTGAGTCAGCGCCACGGGCGACCCGGCGGCCCCGCCACGCCCCGCCACGCAGTACGAGCGATACATGCCAGGCACACACTCACACACTCACACACACACACACGACAGCACTTTTTCCTGCTCCCGGTCAATCGAACCGGCACTCGAGCCGCCCCTTGACCGCGCTGCCCCACTGCGTACACCTGTTTGCTTGCCCCCGCTCTGCCAACAACGCGCGTGCCACTATTCGCAGCCCATTTCTCCTCATTACTCGCTTATTCACAAACCGCCACAGACAGTCGTATATTCGTGGACGTCCTCATGCCTGGCCTCGACACGCCGCGCGCCGCCACGGCCGGCAGCACGTCGAACAGCATTTCCTCGTGGACGGCAACGACGTCGTCGTCGGGGACCCCCTCCCCTCCCCCACCTCTTTCCGCCCGGATTAAACCCGCTCCCCCTC